TCGCTTCAACTTCTTTTTACGTCCGTCCTGGATGGTAAGTTAAATGACAAGTTATTTCAGGATGTCGGTGTATACGTCGGGGAGGGGGCCGCGGTTAGAACTCCGAATACACCATGATTCCAGAAATCTTCTGGGGCCCCACCGTTGTTCGCGTGCCAGGGTCACAGCATTCGCCAGGTCGAAAGCGTGACCAGTCGTCCAACAATGGTCCACCAGTTCTGTTTTTGATCTTGTGGCATGTGTTGCCTTCTCCACGTCTTTTTTGTGTTCTTTGAGGCGGGTACTCCGTTTGCGGCCAGTTTCTCCGATGTAACACTTGTCACAGTCCTGACAGTTCACTTTGTATACAACACCACTTTGAGATTCAGGAGGGGCTGGATCTTTTGGCTTCGAAATGAGGTCACGTAATTTTATATGGGGTTTGAGACCGGCGAATAGATTCCGAGACGCCTTTTACATAAGGGATAGTCACCACGCCTGCTTTGTAATTATTAGTCGCTTTTGTTCTTCCCTGCTGCATCTGTTTACGTGTGTTTTCAATAAAACCTTGTGAATATCCGCGCCTCAAAAGGGATCCGATAACAGTCTGAACTTCCGATGCTCGTAAATTTGAATTTGAAGGCAAATGTTCTGATCGGCTAATTAAGGTTTTTACAACGGCTCGCTTATGTTCTACAGGGTGGTGAGAATTGAAACTCAAAAAATTACCGGTATCACAAGGTTTACGATACACGGTGGTTTCAATCTGACCGGTGTCACTTCGGCAAACAGTTACGTCCAAAAAAGGTAACGTGCTATTTTGTTCAACTTCTCGCGTGAACTGTATGGAAGGTTCAATGCTGTTTAGGGTTGCATGGAAGTCATCGACGTGATCCTCATTTAAAATAACGAAAGTGTCATCTACGTAACGTCGATAGAATTTGACAGGGCATTCTTTTATTTCTAACGCGGTCTGCTCTATGTGTTCCATTACCAGATTAGCCAAGGTCACAGATACCGGACTACCCATTGGGCAACCCTCAATCTGACGATAGAATTGTCCACGGAAGGTGAAATGCAACTGATTTAGACAAAAACGCAAAAGAATAATAATATCCTCAACTGTCAGAGATGTCCGTGACGAAAGTGTGGAGTCATTACGTAGGCGTGTTTCGGCAACTTCCACTGCAAGAGTGGTCGAAACATTAGTGAACAAAGATATAACATCAAACGAGACCATTACATCTCCCTTGTCCAGAACATGACCTCGAATTAGGTCAACAAATTCTCGAGAGTTTATAACTGTAAAGTTGTTATTCCCTGTTATGGGAGAAAGCAGCTCTACTAGATATTTAGATAGGTTGTACGTGGGGGAACCAACAAACGACACAATCGGTCGTAGAGGACAATCGGAGTAAAGAATGTGCCCCTCCCTGAGGGTCACCAGGTTGTTTTGTCCCGGTCCTTCCTAGAAGTCGTAGGTCAGGGCCGGGTGATCGTGGACTGCCGCGCTGGATGGTCGCTTCTTGCTCGTTGGTGGTGGCGGAGCCTCGAAGAAAGACGCTCAAAGTCGAGAGCAACGATTGATAAAAATAAATGTATTAAAACGTCAACAGCAAACTTGGTTACAGAACTCTACTGTCCGCTCACGGCAGTAGAAATACCAAAAAAAACCGCGCCTCGGCGCAAAGTGCCCACCGCGCACGGCGGGGCTCAAAGAAACTGCTCGTCGCTCGCGACAAAGCTACGCGGACCGGCGGACCGCGGGAGATAACTTGCTCCGCGCACGGGCTTGTTCAAACTCAACGCTTCCTCGCCAGCGCGGACGAGAAAACTCCCCGCTGACACAGGGCCTGTCCAATCAGGACAATTATACAATTCTATTGGCCCCAGTGCCAGCGGGTCCTCCACCAATTACAGAAAGGCCACCGAACTCGTCATTTCCCTTTTCTAAGAAGAGAAACAATGCTACACCCCTGGGGGAACTCTCCAATCGGGGCGATACTTTACTACTTTACGGGGAAAACACCTTCCACTCCGCCGCGTCAAAACAAATTGGCGCCGTGTCCTTCGAAGTTAGCGAGTAAAGCGTAATGGAGTCCAGGTGGACCCAGACCGGCGCCCCTCGTCGCTAAAACCTTATTGCAGCAGTCCCCCGACTGCACAAGCCGTCACTGGAAACGCGCCGTGACGACAAAGTCGCCACTACCTGGCGGCGACAGGCAAGAATGTCTGTCTCCCTCCCGAGCCAAAGATTAAAAAGGGCTCAAGCCACTCATCCCCCCAGCCTCGGGACGAGCCGTCGGGGTGCCCCCATCCGAACGGTTGAAGGTCGATTCACTCAGTTTCCAGGAAACGACAAAATTCTCAAGCGATCCCTACAATCGGGTTTGTGAATTTTGGGGAGGCCGTAAAGTTTTGGAGTACAACCATCGGAAGAAAAAAGGCGGCGGTAAATTGTGTCATTTAAGCGGTTCTTCTTTTTTAGATCACGTAGGTGGTCAACCAGAGCTCTTTCAGATTTTTTAGTCGGATCCTGTGCTAACTTTACAAAATGCGCAGTGTCCTGGAGGATGGCATCCATTTTTTGAAAATAAGCCTCTTTGTCAATGACAACAGTGCCCTTTCCTTTATCTGCAGAAAGGACAAGGATTGAATGGTCGGATTTAAGGTCCCGTAGTGCCGCTTGTTCGTGCTTATTTAGATTCGACGGGGTGGTTCTTGCGTTATTTAAAGTAGTCATTATACGGCTGCGTGCTAGGTTAATCCCTGAGCTATCATGGAGATGACGTAGCTTCTCTTCTATTTCCACGATAATGTCTCGTTTGGGGACAACGCGCGGGGCCAAAGCGAAATCGAAGTCTGCGGATGCGGATCGGATAAACAAACTGTTATCCGCGCAGGGCTCTAATGGTGGGCTATATAACGGACCGAGGACCTCGCTTTGACCACGAGGATTGTGTATCGGGCTGAAAAAGCGACTGCACAGCTCGATGTTCGGACCAACAAAGGGACTGTTGATTGGTGGCGCGCGTGCGCTATGGAAACAGTCCCTTTGATGGCCTGGACATCGAGCTGCGCAGTCGCTTCCTCAGCCCGAAACAGATTATATGCAACTAAATTCGATTGGTTTTTAGCTCGAGTTTAGAATACAACTCACGTCGCCAACGGTGGCCAGGCGAACCGAACCGTTTCGGGGTGTGTTCGATTTTACCCGGTGGAATATTTGCAGAGGCTGAATGCTATGAAAATGAATAAACTAGCCGCAAACCCCGGCTGATTGAGTCGACCCTGGTCGAAGGAGCTATAGCCAGAATATACACCTAAAATTACTTTCAGCGCTCACAAAATCACTATATTTTTACGCATAATTAATCACTCTGATTAAAGTTCATCAATTATGGCCCTCTCGTAAGACGCCTGCAGGTGGCGCTAGTTAACTTGATCTTCTCAGGAAGTTGGCTTCTCATTGACAGACTGGGGGAAAAACTTCTGGGCCAAATTTGCAAGATCCGATCAGAAGCGCACTGTCAAATGCTCTGGGGTCGGGCTTCTCTTCGCGAAATTTGACCCGCGTGCGCTTAAGTCGACCCTGTATGGTGCGCGTAAAAAGAGCTAGAGCCGTGAAAAACACGTCTCCTTGAACGCCTAAGATAAATTACAGCGCTCACCAAAAGACTTTATTCGATTGTATAATTACTCAAGCCGATTGAAGCGGATTAAATATTGCCCTCCAGTAGACACCTTCAGCCAGTACATCCCTCAGATTCTTAGAAGAACGCCTGTTTTGCCGTGTTGCGTCACTCAGGGTCTTGCCGTTCCATAGGAATTATTGTCTACAAAACATCCGCCTTTTTGCGCGATAAACAAGGTTGCTTAAAAACAAACATCTTCTTCGAGGAATTGTTGGATACACGAACACATTTCCTGCTCATTTGTCGATACTGTGCTGTGTATAAATATCACATTGTTCCCGTATGTATAACAACCTGTGTTAATGAAACCCCGTAGCTATGAAGTTTAAATTCAGCCGCAAAGCCTAGATTTCTTCGCTATCCTGTGCCGCCCAACCGTTTCCCGTGTAACAAAATTTGTTTCCTACAAATTTCGTTTATTTCTCAATGGCCTTCTTTGGATTTATTATTTATTAATGATATTCTGAACGATATTTTGTTAAAACTCACACTATATATGTGGATGATTCAGTTCTTTATTATGAGGAAATAATGCTAGCGGTAAGTGTGGGGTGAACGAGGATCTGGATATGATTCTGAAGTAGTGCAGCTCTTGGCAGGTGTATATAAATTATGAAAAATATGTTTTTATGACAGTAACTCACAAAAGAAAGCCCCAACAGAATAACTATAACGTAGGAGCTCATATCCTAGAAGAGATTTTCGAGTATAAATACCTAGGAATTTGGACAACGAACCGTTGAAGCCAGAATAAGCACATTGACTAGTTGCACGCAATGGTCTTCGTAAATTATTATATTAAAAAAGAAATTTAAAACAATGTACATCGAACACGAGATTATTAGCTTGTAAAACTATTATTCGGCTCGTGCTTGAGCACGATAATCACTTGGGACAAATTACATCAGCAAACACAAATTTAGACCTGGCTAAATTAGATAGTTTCTGCTCGACCCGATCGTTTCCAACAGTGACGTCATGGGATGAGCGCTACGGCCTTCAATCTAGGTGATAATGCTCCAGCATTCACACGAGAGCTGTGACCAGGTGTACGAGCATCTCGGCGATTTTGACATGAACTGTGAAAAGAGCGAACGTCAACACTGCGTCAAACCCTTGCAGATCTGGAAAAAGAGACATTGAAATTACTAAAAAGCAGTGAATCGTACGAGGCGTTTTTGGTAGCGCGGGCGCATCAAGGATGTGATATCCTCACATTCTTGAAGCACAAACTCTCATTTTATTTTACTTTTTGTTGCACGAAAGGCACAAGCTTGAAAGGAGCCGACGTTGACACACACACGCACAAAAATACATGTGTAAAAATACAAATATACATATTTATTTCTTTTTACATTTAAAAATATCCCATAAAAGAAAAAAAAATCCGAAGGAAACGAAAACCATTGGGATACAAGAAGATAAGCATATGGTCGTCAACACCAGTCACTCATCCCGCCGTCCCTCGTGGACCTTGGGAAGGACAAACGGCGTGCTCAGCATGAGCAGCGCCATCGCGGCCTCTCTGCATGAACGCAGGGTCTTCGTCGTCGTCGTCGTCTCGGGCTGTGGGCGGCGACTCGGGCAGTGAGATCGGACGACCCGGGCTCCGGGGGACCATGGCCCGCGCTGCTGGTGGCTTTCCTTGGATACCGCTCGGGCCGGCCTCTTGCAGGTCTAGGGCGGAGATGCTCCCGTGGCCTGCATTTCCGCGTTAGTTTAAAGGGGACATCGATGTCACCTGGTTTCAGGCAGACGTGCACGCAACGCGTTACTAGTAACGAGTCACTTCTACCTATTTACTTTTTTCGGTAACGAGTAACCTATTTAGTTACTTCTTTTATTTTGTTTTTTTTAATTAAAGGAACGAGTGACATACCTGGTTACGCTTAACGCCAAGTAACGACCAACGGTATTCCGCTAATTTTTGAGGAGTGGCGTGTACAACACCGTTTAAGCAGCCTCCTTTTAACTCTAACTTTAGTGCGCGTCTATTGCGACAAAGGCAGATGGCCAAACCGAAAAACAACTAAACAGTATGACAGTGTAGCAGTGTAGTATGACACTATAGCAGTATGACTGAGTATAGCAACGTTTATTGCTGAGCACGTCAGTCGAACTCTACAGCTGGGAATGTCCTTCCTCCAGCGAACACAATAAGGTTCGTTGGTCGCACCTTGTAGACTTGTGTACTGACTCAATGTAAACCCGGAAATCGCCAACACGGGAAGGCACAGGACCCATTTTCAACTTGGAACTTTAGAAGCAGAGCAACCGAAGAGAGAGGGAATCCCAGATTCAGCAGCTCTTTCTGAAGTACACAAAACTGCCGTTCCTTCGAGCGCGTAAGAGCGAATGGTATCCAGAAAAGAAAAGAAACGGTATTGTTTTGCATTCTTGTATTGTATTGTAGAACGACTCCTCGGCATCTCCGGAGACTCAAGGAAGCGGGGAAGCAACGGATGAAAACTTTTGAGAGGCAATGACTACTGGAAAGAAGAAAATAAACCACGAAACAAAAGCAGCTGTGGATTTGGACGTCAAAGTAACTCGTATACTTCGGAGGTTATGTAACGGGTTCCTATTGAGAACCGGCAACGAGTAACCTATTTAGTTTTTTTTTTCATTTTAGCTATAAAGAGTAACAGTATTTACTTACTTTTTTGTGGTATCGTGTATGTGTCTGAAGCTTCCTATATATTTAATAAGAAACACTTCCAAATTAATATCCGATTTCCGTGGAATTGAGAATCAAACAAAAAATTCCGAAGTTTCCGAAAAAAACATACACTTCGAGAAACACAGTCCGAATTTGACGAAATATAAACTCCGATAACACGGAATTATAAGTTTGAGGTATGAGGGAGTTTTCGTAGACCGCGTTTCCCCCTCCGCTAAGCCCTCCGCAACGAAGCAGCAGCTACCGCACCGGCGCGACCATGGCCGTCACTGCAGAGTTCCGGCTAGCGTAGCTGGTTGCGGAGAGCGTTGCGGGACAGCGGAAACGATCTACGAAAACTCCAAATAGGGAGTTGTAGTAGATCGTTTTCCTTCTCCGCTACGTTATCCCCGAAGAAAACGCCGCAGCTGCGCATGCGCGCCGCCAGCCTTCTCTGCATAGTTCAAGGTCTTGTGGCGGATTACGGAGCGCTACCCGCGTGCTTAGCGGGCTGCGGAAACGGTCTACTGCAACTCCCTATTGTTTCCGCTAAATTTAGCGGGGAAACAATCGGTCTGTCGGTTCTGTGACCTGGTGTTACGGGACATTAAATTTGGCGCCAAATTTAATGGCGTTAAAAAGCAGAACAAACTGTTCACCGTGCTCGGTCCCATTTCTGGAGTCATTCAACCTTTTTAACGTTTTTTCTTTACTTTAATTACCTTATTTTAGTCATCTCAAAACAAATGTGAAATAACTGCCACAAGCATACTTGAGAGTGCCTAGGACCCGCGATATGTGATGCGGAAATCATCCGAGCGCAGTGTTGTTTATTTAAGTGGGAAGGCAGCGAAACGCCCACGGTGACTTCAAGATTTTTTTCGTGCTGACTGCTGTTGAGTGTGCCTTTTGTGCTGCGAATACTGGCAGCAACATGAAATATTACTACAGCAATGATTTTTGTTTGTTTATTTTGTTGAGCATCCACAATTTGTTCTCATTAGATTGCTTTTTTTTTTCTCGTTCCGCTACTACCACGTTCCATGCACGAGCCTTGGCTCGTGTGAGAATCGAGCTGTGAAACCCGAGAAGAACATAACGAATTGTATCATGTTACTTCTCCCGCAGTGAAGAGCGGTCGAGGCTGGCAGCCAGGAAGTATGCTCGTATCATCCAGAAGCTGGGCTCTGACGTGAGTCCGCTCTCCCTCGTCTGCTGGCGCCTTCGGGCATAGCAAAGTCCACAGACGGGGCTGTGCATCAAGGCAATGCATCCTAGATAATGAGGCGGTAGTCCTGGAGTTTTCACTTCACCTATTGGAGGGCAGTGTAGGGCACATATTGGGCAAAAGTGCTCCTCTGCTAGGTGAACTAAACTTTTTCTTTTTCTCTCTGGTTACAGCATTTTGTGTGTGCAATGAAAGTTGTTACTGTATCTCAGATCCATTGCAGGTGCGAGATGCTTTAGCTTTGGGTTGCAGCCACAGTGTAAGATACATGTATTGTAAAATCCGGAGCAAGTGCCCACCCAAAATTTTGTGATAATCATGTAAAACTGGGGGTTGGGTGCTTCTTAGGTGAACATTATATAAAGATATGTCCTTTGTGTATTTTACATATGTTACAAAGTTGAGGGATGGGCGCTTATTGTAGAATGGGCGGATGCTCGGTATTTTACGGTTGGTGTAGACATTGTGCACGTGACACCTGCCAGATAAAGTCCTCTCCTCACTCGGTTGCAAGCAGTGCCACCAGGTGGCGCTTCGATAAGCGGCTAGTAGTATATAAAGTATATAATAGGTAAGGGCAACAGAAATGCAGCTGTAATGAAAAATAGAGCACTTTGGAATTACAACAGGTATGAGGTGGTGAGAGAGATTTGGAAAGGGGTCATGGTGCCTGGCTTGACTTTTGGAAACGCAGTGCTATGCATGAAATCCGAAGTGCATGCGAAACTAGAAATAAAACAGCGCGGAGTAGGTAGACTGGCTTTGGGGGCACATTGCAAAACGCCAAACCAGGGAGTACAAGGAGACATGGGATGGGCATCATTTGAGAGCAGGGAAGCGGTGACCAAGGTAGAATTTAAGGATAGGTTGAGGCAAATGGACGGGGAGCAATGGGCACGAAAGGTTTTCAGCTATTTATACATGAGGAGTGTAGACACAAAGTGGAGACAGCGCACTAGGAAATTAAGAGGAAAGTTTTTGGGCTATAGCGAAGATACGGAAGAGCGAGTCTCAGTTAAGAAGAAAGTTAAGGCCACAGAAAGAGATTGGTGGCTAGAGGGAATGCAGACAAAGACGGCTCTGGAAAGCTATAGATTAAACAAAAGAGTTATTGCCAAAGAAAGCATTTATGACAATTCTAGGGGAAGCTCATTGCTGTTTGAGGCAAGAACGGGTGTTCTGCGAACCAGAACATACAGAGTGAAGTACCAGGAAATTGATACAGTGTGCACTGCTTGTGGAGAGGAGGACGAGACGGCTGAGCACTTGATACTCTACTGTAAAGGGCTTCACCCTATGCCTACCGAAGACAACATAGATTTAATAAAGTCATTGGGTTTTAGAGACAGCGAAGGGAGAGTGGATTTCAAGACTGTAGAGATTACCAAGCAAAGATTAAGTGAATGGTGGCAGAAATCGAGAGAAAACTAGGTATTTTCTTATCCACTGATGGCAAGGGGGTTTCATAGCCTCACTTTCTTTGCGCTGCGGAGTGAATATAGATTTCACATTTAAATATTCTAAGCTTAAATGGTAAAACAAAATGGCTAGGTGGCGTAAGCTACCGCCCGATCCAAAGGGCTCAGCCGTATTCATCCATCCATCCATCCAGTAGAGAGCTCAAACCTAGGTGAAGGACTAACAGCCCTATTAAGGAACATTTACAAAGGTAATAAGGTGATTATAACATGGGAAGGAAAGGCGACGGGAAAATAGAGACAAGACGAGGCCTTAGGCAGGGGTGCCCGTTAACGCATATGCTGTTTATGTTACATCTGAGAAGATTGGAGGATAGACTAGAGAAGAGTGGGCTTGGATTCGACCTTTCGTACAGTAAGCTAGGCCAAAAAATTCAGCAATCCTTTCCGGGATTGATGTATGCGGATGATATTGTACTAATGGCTAACAACAGGACAGAGTTGCAGGAATTAATGAGCATATCTGTGGTAAGGAAGGAGAGGAATTAGCTTTAGAATTCAGTAGTGAAAAATCAGCAATCATGATTTTTAACAATGATGAAGTTGAGTTGAGAGGCTGAAAATATAGAATATTATAGTTGAGAGAGCTAGTAAATACAAGTATCTAGGAGTATGGATATGTGACGGTGCAGAATATCTCAGTGAGCATGAAAAGTATAGAACAGGTGAGGGCAACAGAAATGCAGCTGTAATGAAAAATAGAGCACTTTGGAATTACAACAGGTATGAGGTGGTGAGAGAGACTTGGAAAGGGGTCATGGTCCCTGGCTTGACTTTTGGAAACGCAGTGCTATGCATGAAATCCGAAGTGCATGCAGTACTAGAAATAAAACAGCGCGGAGTAGGTAGGCTGGCTTTGGGGGCACATTGCAAAACGCTAAAACCAGGGAGTGCAAGGAGACATGGGATGGGCGTCTTTTGAGAGCAGGGAAGCGGTGAGCAAGATAGAATTTGAGGATCGGTTGAGGCAAATGGATGGGGACCAATGGGCAAGAAAGGTTTTCAGCTATTTATACATGAGGAGTATAGACACAAAGTAAAGGCAGCGCACTAGGAAATTAAGAGGAAAGTTTTTAGGCTATTGTGGAGATACAGAAGAGCAGGTCTCAGTTAAGAAGAAAGTTAAGGCCACAGAAAGAGATCGGTGGCTAGAGGGAATGCAGACAAAGACGGCTCTGGAAAGTTATAGATTAAACAAAACAGTTATTGCCAAAGAAAGCATTTATGACAATTCTAGGGGAAGCTCATTGCTGTTTGAGGCGAGGACGGGTGTTCTGCGAACCAGAACATACAGAGTGAAGTACCAAGAAATGGATACAGTGTGCACTGCTTGTGGAGAGGAGGACGAGACGGCTGAGCACTTGATACTCTAGTGTAAAGGGCTTCACCCTATGCCTACCGAAGACAACATAGATTTAATAAAGTCATTGGGTTTTAGAGACAGCGAAGGGAGAGTGGATTTCAAGACTGTAGAGATTACCAAGCAAAGATTAAGTGACTGGTGGCAGAAATCGAGAGAAAACTAGGTATTTTTTTATTCACTGATGGCAAGGGGGTTTCATAGCCTCACTTTCTTTGCACTGCGGAGTGAATATAGATTTCACATTTTAATATTCTAAGCTTAAATGGTAAAACAAAATGGCTAGGTGGCGTACGTAAGCTACCGTCCGATCCAAAGGGCTCAGCTGTATTCATTCATCCATCCATCCATCCATCCATCCATCCGGTTTACTTTATGTGACGGGTGACGCGCCGATCGGCACATAGCGCATCTTTTTCGACCTCAGCCAAACTTGTCGAAGGTAGCGCCCTTCAATTACATTTGACAAATTTTGCGTAAGACAAATGTTAGTGGTGCGCAGCGTGGCCAGAGATACAGGGGTGAGAGCGTAACCCAAGTACTTAAAAAGGATCGGAAGAAAAGGCTCCCCTCTTAGCCGGTTCCTCTTTTGTGAACCCCACATCGCTTTGCCCTCCCTCGGAGATTTGCCTGTCACCCAAACTTCGCATAAAAGAGGCTTTACTCTCTGTCACCTGCACACTGTCCGTAAAACAAATTAGTTAAATTTTTTTTTAACGTCAACATTGGGAATTGTTGTTAACGAGTACTTTAGCGGGGCCGATAATTAAGGAAATGTCTCACCCGGTCTGTATGGTGGGGTATCGAAATATGTACCGAGGAAATAATTTCGTTATAAAGCAAACCACGTCCGAGACAATATCCCTTTCTTAGATTATGCGCGCTGAAGCTCATAAAAAGTTGGCGTCCGCAAAAATCAATCTGTGATCAGTGAACTTGAGACTTGATGTGTCCTTCGCGAAGCACATTGTTAATCAGGTTGCCGATATTTTTATTTTTTACACTACGCATGTTTGCCATTCAATCAGTTTATTTTATTCGTAATTATGATTTGAAACCACTTCGTAGTTTACAAAGTTGCTGTTTTCTTGTTTGTGTGCTAAAAAGGAACGTCTCTATCCCAAAATTAAGCGAAAATGACGTAAAACAACAACACAGCCGCATGCGCTGGAACCGAAACCAATCAAATTGAAGGCGCCCATTGGTGAGGACGATGGCAGAGGGTACGCCAGCGCTCCCCGTCCGGTACATGTGACCTTTTAAACATCCCATTGGCTGTGCTGTACAATGGCAGCGTGCATGAAACACTGGGCATCAGGTGCACGCCTTAGCAAAAGTAGTAGAAGCTTACCCGGGGGTCCGCGTATGGGCCCAGCTTTGCCGCATCCGTGGTCATCTGGGACGTCGATTCCGCTCCCTGCTGAGCCGGGCCTGGAGTGATCACTGTGGCCCGTCCCGATGCCGGAGTCATTCTCCATGGTGTCATGCCTGGTAGCCTTGTGGTACTTCAGGTTGCTCTTGTGGCTCGTGCCGTAGGCACAGATGTCGCAGCGGAACAACAGCTTCTTGCCATTGTGCACGCACATATGGCGAACAAGAAGGCTCTTCCTGGGGAACCTGCTCGCGCACAGCGGACATTTGTACGTCGGGGGACCGATGCCGGCCCTGCGGTGTACCAGGTCTCGATGCAGGTCCAAGGACCATCTATCCTTGAGCTCCTGACCGCAACAGATCTGCGGCTTGGTGAGGGCATCGTGTTTGTCACTGACGTGTCGCTTCAGGTCGCTGATCCGGTTGGTGCGATAGTTGCAACCCAGTCCGTCGCACTGCAGATTACGGCTGTTGACCTTGCTCTCATCGGACACCTCGTGAGTCGATTCATCGGACGATCTGGACATTTCGAGACACGAAAAGTTAAAATTAACCAAAGCGGCAATACGCGACACATCTAGGTGGACTTGGGGAAGACGTGGGGCTTGAAATGAACTTTCTGGGTTCGTGGGGTCAAAGAGGTCTAAGAACCAAACAGAAATGAACGAACATTTGCATCAAATTATTTTGGTGTTTTCTTCTGCGCACCGCTCAGAGCACGCAACTTGAACGCCAGATTTTGCCATCGTAGTCGGGCTTAGAGGCAGATCCGGCAGAAAAGCAAACTATAGTGAGCGCACTTAGATATACAGCCGAAAACCAAATAACGTATATTCTGACGAGGTAACGGGGCATACCGGCTGTACACCACACCAGTAAAGTGGCTGAGAAAGAAAAAAATATTTTCGGAACAAACTGCAGGACGCTGCAGGTCGGACGTCAGGGTTCAAAAGAAACACAAATTGGCTAAATGAAGAACTAAAACTTTTTGCTAAGTAGAGTTCTAAAAGTGAAAATAAACACGCTGCAAACCAAAACATTTGGCTTACAGAGCGAAATAACAGAACATACAGTGTGTAAAGCATATGCAACATAACGGTCAAAGTTACATTCAGCAACAGGGTGTGTGTATTTGATCGGCAGTAGCCCCAACTCTTTCGGATATTTATCTAAGAGACATAGATCTGCGTCTTCTAGAGTCTTTTAGACATAGATCCCCTAAGGAAATTCTGATGAGGAGGTACGTAGACGATATCTTGGTTTGTTCAACAGACGCCTCCTTAGCGGATTCTTTGGAGAAAGTAGTGTTCGAAGCAGCGCCCGAATTAAAGTTTTCGCTATAGAGACCGAATGACGACCGTTTACAGTATCTCGATATTCAACTTAGGAATAGTTCAGGCCTTTGTTGGGAGTACAGAAAGTTCGCAGCAAAACCTCTTCTTCCTTTCAATAGCTGCCATTCTAAATATTTCAAACTGGGAATAATTCGAAATCTCGTCAATTCAACAGTACAGAAATCATGCTCACATTTTATTGGCTCTTCTCTTCGTCGACTGACAGAACGTTTCCAGGTTGCTGGGTATCCTCAGGAACATATTTTAAGGCAGTTGATGTATATGGTATGTCCAAGGAAGTCAATTCGAAAAAATCCTAGACCTTCAAAGCGAATAGTCCTTCCATATTTTCATAAAATTTCGCACAACATCAAAGCGTTAGCCAGCAGGTTTAATATTGGCACCGCTTTTTCTACAGATTATAGATTGAGCCGTTTGACCCCTTTTGCCTCGACTGTTTCAGGTTGCACGATAAAACACAGAGATAGGGATGTAGAATGTTCGTCGGATGTCGTTTACTAGATACCCTTTGATTGTGGCCTCTGTTATATTGGACAGACTAAACGCTGTATAAATGAGCGCTTGATTGAACACAAACGTTGTATAATGAAAAAATACCCGTACTCCGAAGTGTCAAAACATGTTATCGAATGTGGGAACTGTGCACCGTTGTGGCATTTAACTTCAGTAGTGTTGCGGGAAAAAGATGACCATAAGCGATAGATAAAAGTCATTAACAATACTAGGTCACGGGAACGCAGTGAATAAGCCGTCGTTTGGGTTGGACAACGAACATCGGCGTTTTCTTAGGCTGTGAGAAGTTTTGACCTTCAAAGTTTATCTTTGTAGGTTTTCGGGTAAAAGAAACGTTAAGTCGTTTGTTTTTGTGCGTGTGTGTGTGTGTGTTAATGGGCTTAGGCTATGGCTTAGGCTTTCCAGTGTGTTTGGCGGTCGGGTAGTGAGGGGTCAAAGATAAGAGAGGTGCATGACGCAGAGTCCGTTGTCCTTGTACTTAGTCAAAGGTTACATTGGTGGAAAGTGGCATTCTTTGGGGTTCTCACCCTCTCCCCCTTTTTTTTTTTCTTTTTCGGAAAATAAAAATTTCAGCAGTGTTAGAGACTTTTTAGTGTTGTGTCGTTTACTCGCAGTCTCGGGGTTTTTTCAACCATGAGAAAAAGGAGACGGCTGAAACCGTGCTGCAGAAAAGAGTCTTTGACCTTGAAACATACCTTCGCGAATCGAGCTTCGTATCAGAAAAGCACGTCAAGAATACGATGAAAAGTCAGTGTAATAACTGAATATCAATAGAAAGTCCCAAAAGCACTATGCAAATAGAAGACACCTCTCCACTGTCTGAACTAATAGAAAGAATGACCGCGCAAGAAATTGGCAAATTGATTGTCGACGTGCGCGAACTGACTGTTTGCAAAAAAATGGCGGAAGCATCGCCGAGGAGCGGGCGGTCTCGTTGATGCAAAGGCCCGGCCAGTTTGTCTGGACTCGATAAAAAAATGCACGTCTAAACATTTCGTGATGAAATTCATTGCGAGCAAAACTAAAAAAAGACAGCCGACGTGAAAAGAAAAGAACGCGTGGCGAACACCGATGGCGATGTGTTGGAGCTACTTGGCGGCAGGTTCAGGCTTGGTTCAGGGTTCTGAAAACATCCATGTTTAGCGGCGTAGACTCCATTTTCCCGGGGGGGGGGGGGGGGGGGGGGGCAGGTTGAAAAGTTCTAAGGAGGGGGGGGGGGGGGGGAGAGGGGCTTTTCCGCGCAATTTTTGTTACACCGGCAATAGTTTATCTTAGGGGGTAGATGTTACAGCGTATGTATATCACCATGTGTCCGTCGCTGTGTGTCAATGTCAATTACCGTGCAAGCGTAGCCGTGTGGTCATCGCCGGTACCACCGCGCATATGCCGGCGAGCACAAATCTGAAAAACAAAATGCTTGTGCCAGTTGCGAAGTTGTGGGGGTAGAACCCAGGCCCCTGTGCTTCTGAAGCAATAATCCACTCGACCACGAGTCTTTTCTTTTTAATACATGGAACTAGACCCTGCGGCTGAAATATCAGGCCAAACGCTCATTAACAAGACAACGCACAAAACAGTGTTCAAACCAAGGAGACCAAGCGGACGTAAAAGTGATCGATGCCGCGTTACCTTCTCGCCAGAACTGAAGATTGAAGATGGCGAAAGCACGCGCGCTGGGATTCCATTTCCCACGTATTTTGTCAATAAAGGCAACGTGGGCGTTATTTTGTTTGCATGCCACTACTAGAAGCTCGTTACATGGCACGTAAACAGCGCCTCGGTAAGAATCACAAACCGGAAAAGGGGGGGGGGGGGGGGGGGGGGCGGACGAGCCTCGACGCCCCCGCGTAGTCTACGCCTATGTCCCCGTTTAATATTTATCCAAAAGGAGCGACTGGCATTCAATAAATAATGCACACGCGAGACCCGTCTAAAATGTATTTGGAGATAAACGTGGATAACGAGCGTTTCCCTATCGCGACGTTCTTTGCAAAAACGGCGGGACATCGCAGAAAAGAGTTATGTAACCTACATGTATTAAAAATAGGGTTAAACTTTTTGTGGCATCTCAACACTGAAGGACACGCCTGCTACGGCACTAAAGTTGCGCAAGCGCAGAAAGGAGTACAAACGTCTCACTAACGCGAGGGCGCTCGTGTCAGCACCGTTGTAACTGGTACACCTTATGTGCCTTTTAGAGCGGGAAGTAAGTCGGCCATAGAATCTTTGGATATCTTACGATTTTCCTTGCTGGTGGGATCTCACACCGTCACTATGGGCGCGAATGAAGCACGCACCATCACGACCCGCGATCCTCAGTTTACGATCTACAAACGGTTCATAATATCGCTCGACCTAGATATCTTCTAGTGCTTACGGTGAAAGTGCTCAAAACTTACCCATCCATTTTCTTGGTAGGTCTAGACGGGTAGGGTGCCTTCATGTGGCGCTTGAAGGCTCCCTAGAGACGGGGACCCATGCCTCCTGTCCAAGTAGAATCTTGAAGAGCCGACGAAAAGGCGTATAATGTCTTCGGAGAAAGTTCCGCCAAGATGCGCCACCTACACCTGCGCCATCTCAGACGACAGAACCCTGATTGTCCGGTTCGAGGTGAAATAGTCACCGGGAAAAATCGAATGTCCACTACCCTGTGAACCCTCAGCTCTGGTCCTTTGTTACCTATTATCCGTGGTGACAAAAAAGGTACCAGAGGTGCAGGCAAAAGAGGGAGGGTAAGACAAGGTCACTGCGTTCGATCTAATTCTGTGTGGAAAAACGGTAAAAAAAAACAAAAAAAACAATGACCTTGTGATTCTGCAGAGACACATTGTGCCCCGTTGGATATTCCTTGGACGATAGAACTGTACGATGTAAAAAAGCGTTTCTGCTAAGAGGTAAAAAAAAAAAAAGTGGTATCCGGTTGGAAGTGTAGGACGTCATCCCTCCCCAAATGCTTGCCTCCTTTAGAAAAAGAAAAAAAAAAGAGTACAATAAGTCGTGTTTTCTTTATGTTTTAATATTTATAGCAGACTGTTACAAATCAGGGAGGAAGCGGATTAAATAACTAGTCATTAGGCGCTAACCGAAGTCGCTTCATCGAACACCGCCTAGTTGAGCAGTTGGAGCTGTGGATCTAGGAACTAGTTTTCGTCTAGCACCGGAAGGATGGCAGTGTTGTAATAATCTGAATCCAAAAATACCCCAAAAGCCGGGAGACGTCATAATTAAAATAAGAACGCCGACTTGACATAACAGAAAAAACAACTTCATTAGACGTTTCGCCTCCCATGCGGGAGGCATCATCAGTAGTTACACAGCAAATGCAGGGTTCAACCTAAACTCAACGCTATTTATCACGAATGTCCGTGTAAGCTTCGTGGAGAGGGCCGCGGTTTTTGTTGCACACGGATGTGTCCCTGCGAAGAAACCACGATTCTAGAAGCTTTCGGGGCCCCCATCTGTCCTCTCTCGCCAAGGTCGTCGCGGCCGGAAAGTCGAAAGAATGCCCCATTGTCCACGCATAATCCACCAGTTCAGTCGCGTCGCGTGGGATGCGTACGTGACGTCACGCTTGTGTTCTTTGAGTCTGGTATCTCTCCTCCGTCCGGTTTCACCAATGTAGGACGCTGGGCAGTCACTGCAGGGGATCTTGTAGATAACGCCTCTTTGGACGTTCGCCGGGGTTGGGTCCTTTGGTTTGGAAACGGAATGATGCCTCCCGCATGGAAGGCGAAACGTCTAATGAAGTTGTTTTTTCTGTTATGTCAAGTCGGCGTTCTTATTTTAATTATAATCTGAATCCGGACATTTCATCGACCGCCGTTTCGTCAAATACCGTTTGATTGAAGCCGCTTCGTCGAGCGCCATTTCACCCAACGATGTTTCATGAATACGTTTGAGCAGTACGAATTCTTAATCTTGGAAATAGATTTTTCTTCTTTTTTTCTTTTCTTTTAACACCAGAAGGACTGCACTTTTTTTTTCATACAGAAAAGAAAGTTAATAAAAAAAAAAAAAAAAACTTTCCTCGGAGGTGTCGGAGCGATATCCTAAAACTACCTTATCATGCGCTCTGCGCGTCTATCCACCCAACTGAAAGATCACGTGATTGGCACTTATGGTTTGCGTCGTCCTTCCGGTACACAGACACAGTGGGGTGACGAGCCCAGGTGTGCTATTTATTTTCCGACCGATTTTACTTCTGTGCTCATTTATGCCCGGGGATCTACGAATTCAGAGTTTATGCGTTTATGCGACGGATAGTTTCTAATGGTGCACGGCTCAAAGTTGGTAATACTAAAATTATTTTAATTACTTTTTTTTTTTGCTTGTTTCAGGCATAAATTTGTGATAATGTAGTGATTGCGCAGGTGAGCTGGTGGATGTTAACCATTTTGTTCTTAGCCCGAGACTGAGGCGCGAAAAGAGGAAAGTTTCAAAGTAGAAGAAAAATGAACAGTCGAGGACACGTCTTTGTGCGTGTGCAAAAGTCACGAACAACATTTTAAGGAGCATGAGTAAAAGCGAAAATATAATAAAAGAATCATGCGCGATAAATGGAGGCAAGCGTCTCGAAAAAATGGAATGCACTTAGCTGACTGAAAGCGTGCAACATTCGGAAAATTTGGGATGAGGACGATTCGTCACATGCGCACTTGTCACAGGACGATTGATCACAAGACGATTCGTCACATAGGAACATTCGTCAAAGGATGACTCGTCATGCGGGCAACTGGTCAAATCGATCGGGCAGGGGACGATAGTAAATTGTAAATTTCAACAACTGCCCACATTCCCTGATGAGGAGTTTCACGACTTCCCACTGTCGCATAAACAAATGGTTAAAAAAACTAATCGTACGATACTCATCCGCCTTTTCTTGCATTTTTTTACGAGTCTTCAGCAGGTTGATCTCAGTTGCAGGCTTGAACGAGCAATAATCCGACTGGCAGCCAAATCAGTTTTTACTTTTGCCTTGCATACACCTATTCGACAAAACCAATGTGTATCGGAATTCTTTCTGCTGAATGTGTACGAGTACCCCTCGTGCAGCATCATGGCTCTAACTCTCTCTGTTGCGATTACCTTCATCCCTTTGAATGTAATCCGAGTTCAAAAAGAGTAGCTCTTATATGGCCTCCGCATTCACCGTTCGGGACGGACCCAAAGCTAAAATGTCTGTTACAAATTCTTTGATCTTGGGAAGCGAAAGACAAAAGGCCCGTTCACACTCTTGCAACCGCGCACGACCGACCGGTTTTTAAGCCTCTTGCGACCTCTTAGGACCGGATGCGGTGCAGCGGAACTGGTCGCAAGGGCTTAAAAACCGGTCTGGTCTCTCTCAGTCGTACTCGGTTACAAGAGTGTGAACGGCCGAACCAAGATTTAATGTTCGGGACTGAACCAGAAGCTAACACGTCTCTTAGAAATTATTCGCCTTTCAGAAGCCAAAGACATACTAAGATATGAGGTGAGCCACTTTGTCCGCCCGAACCAAATTGAACAATACATTTTTGGGGGGACGAACTGCTGTGGGACCGGTTGGCCGCGTGACGAGTCATCCTATGACGAATGTTCCAGTGGGACGAATCGTCCTGTGACCAATCGTTCTGTGACGAGTGTGCAAGTGACGAATGGACCGTATCCCAGAAAATTTGCACTAAACGCTTAATGCCACAGCCGAAACCTCCAATGCCACAGCTGAAAGAAAAAAGAAAACTGAATTGGGGACAGAAATTTGGAGTGCTAACCTTTTCGTCAAACAGCTACGACCAGGGGTTTCCCCAGGATTCCAATCAAGGGGGGGTGTACCAATGGCTCGGGGGGGGGGGGGGGGGGGGGGGGAGGGGAGGCGATGCGAGGCGAGGCTAGATAAAATATAAAGCTGTTTCTTTTTTAGTCCACTAGCTAAATTACAGACGTCTATTAACCAAATGCTCATACCCGTAATGTATGTTTCCCTTTCTCTATATATACACACCTGAGAGGTGGTGTTTTCTACTTAATCTGGAAAAAAAATGTTTTTTATTTTATTCCTTTTTTTAGATTCAAGGGGGGTGTCCAGGAAAACTAGGGGGGGTCTCAACCCCCCCTAGGGGGGGTCTTTTGGAATCCCTGGCTACGACTCTTCATCGTGATGTTAGACTTCCACATTCTCTTCACAGGAGGGGCTCTATTGTTCAAGAGGAAATTGCAGTCCGTTCATCCCTAATGACGAATTCAACTGGTCGTTTTGGAGCGATCCTATTTCACAGGGCGATTGGGGTCGAGACGGACGTGTTCCACTGGTCGTTTTGGATTAGCTCTCGTTCCAGATCTCGATCTGGATCCGATAAAGTCGCTTCGTCGATTTCGGCGGATTCAACCAGGAACCAGCCGGGCCAGCCCTCGACGCACACACGTGACTTCCTTTCTCGCGAGGTATCTCGCCTGATCTCGCCCATCTCGCCTCAGGAGAATTCGTAATGTCCGCTCGGGAGGTGCCGCCTGTACCGCACGCCTTTCTGCTGCTGCTGCTTGACGACAGTTCGTCGTCAAGTTGCTCGAGTAGCTTCCGGCATACCGGCAATCTTTGCTAGAAGCTCCCGAGCCATTCCTGCCGCTCGTGCGTCGAACACGTGTTAGCGCCGCGATTGCGAAAACGTCGTCAAAACGACCGCGGCGGCTGCGCAAAGGGGATTCCCGGGCAGGTGAATGACGGGAAGGCAATGAGGCATCCGCCGATTCCGGAGGCCGGAGCAGTGGTCATATTCCATTGGGGATCCGTAGGCGGCGCGACCCCGTTCGGATCGTGTGCTCCATTCCGAATCTGGTCAACTTAGAGTGCCTTCATGTTCACCCTAGGTCAACTGATCCCGGCGCGCTCCAAAACGCCCAGTGGAATTCGCCATAAGCTGACAGTGTGGCGGGACCCACGCGCTCTCCGGAGACGGGGCAACCGCCTCCCCTTCATCGCCAGACCAGGCTTTCTGCATTACGGTGTGGTCGGCAGCGGGACCACGTGGCAGAAGATGGACTTGTACCACTGGCCCAACGACCACGTAACTTCCACAGCATTGTCAGCTTTGGGATGAACAGTGCAGTGCACGAAGAGAGGTTACGGAGAAAAAAGAATAGAGCAGCTACCAACCAGACATTTGCTCATTTGTAATAATAAAAGGTTCACTATTTATTTTAAATGCGAAAGCATTAACTGTCCCATGGAACGAGCCGACGTCATCAGTTCGAAGCGCGCAAATGGCACCTTAAATCCTTTCTGCAAGTGAAGCCAGCTCCCAGCTATGAAACCACGCGAAAAGCCTAGACAACGGCACTTAGTTTCCCCGATCCCAAAGGAGCGGAGTAAAATTGATAGATTTCGGACTGGCGCCTTCGGCGCCATTGACTAACACCGAAGGCGCCAGTCGATGGCGCCTTCGGTGCCATTGGCTGGCGCGCGTCGACGAAGCTCCCATTGGCAGCTGCGCGCGTCAGTTTCAACGACCGCCACCCCATGGCACTGCGTGTCCGCGCCGCTTAAAGGGTAACTGCAAAGAAAAAAAAGTTTTTTTTTAAACAGCC